TTTATTTCAAAATTTAATAGCTGTTTTCACTGATTTTTATTCTTTAAACCATTCATGGTGTTTAATCTTTTGTTATTTGAAAAGGGATACGCTCGCAATAAAAATTTACATTCGAAATTGAGTTTTAATATCAGCGCAATTACTTGAATGCAAACCAGCCGGATAAGTTTCAGACATTTCTTAAAATGCTGTAGAATGAAGGGTTAATTTACCTGAATTTGTTATAGTTCGAATTTGGATTTTTCTTACGCTCTTCAATAAAAAATTAATCATAGCACAAAAATGAACGTTTCCAGAATTAAACAAAATCAGTCAACAACTGCGATCAAATCTGTAAATTTATTGTTGAAAAGAGATCGTTGTCTATAAAATACAATATACATCATCTGAAACAAAGTTTCAAGAGATTATTTCAATAATAGTTTGCTCAATGGAACCATTTTATAGCAATTGATACTCAACTCAAAACAAGAGGAAGCTCACGAAGAAGGCTTGCGGCAGAAGCTTGTCAAAATATCACTGTACGTCATATTCTCTTAAACAATTACGCACACACACATACATAAGTATCCTTTTCAACCAACACTTCGTCAGAAGATTACGTTGGTAAATATCCTTAAAGAAGAATGCTTCCCTGCATTTCCAAATATATATATATATATATATATATATATATATATATATATATATATATATATATATATATATATAAAAAGAAAAGAACAGTAAGATATATAATCCGGTGTTCTTATAGATATTTTTATTTTTTTACAAAATAGTGCTCAATGTAAATTTACAGAGCATTAATATTATAAATTGATTTATTTAAAATATGTTTTTTCGCTACAGTTTTAACCATGTTTCAAAATGGAAGCTAAAAAGCTACAATTTAATTTTGTAATTAAATTAGTCTTTAATTTAATTACAAATATTTTTTTTGCAGTTGTTGCTCGTCATCGTCGTCACCCTGGTATTTCTGGGCCCCAAAACGGAGAAAAAATGTCTGCTTCTCATCCCACGCTCGCTATTTAAAAAAATTTTTGAAACATGGTTAGAACTCTGTAAATATAAAAAACATATTTTAAATGAATCAATTTATAATATATATATATATATATATATATATATATATATATATATATATATATATATATATATAGTTCTGTCGGGATTTCGGTTAATCTATCTATCTATCTATCTATGTATATATATATATATATATATATATATATATATATATATATATATATACTTACAGTATTATTATTATATCACGTCTTTGAAATTAACAAACTATCTGAAATGTCATAGTGCGTATATCTTACTACTGCTCGTCTATAAAAATGTTTATCATTTCCTCTTTTCGGTAACTGTAATATCCTTTTTCACTTTCCCCTCACCGCTAAAAGCGTTTTCGTTTAAAATAGGGAAAGATCTTTTGTATTTAGAAATGCATACTCTGAAGAGAACACATTAAACAATATTACATTTTATATCGAAAAGAAGAGAAAAAATGTTTGATGTTTATGAATTGCTATGATACATTATACAAATCATTCAAGGAAACACACCATTTCAAGTTGGAATTTTGAACAGAAACCTTTATTTAGCCCACGGGGTAGCTTGTACTAATTCCACGTGCCATGCCTTTGATTAGGTTCGAAATTCCAACTTGAAGAACACTGGACCATACAACGGCCGAAACATCGTGAATAACGCAATAAAGATGAAGACAACAGTCCGAACAATATAAATAGTATAAATTGATAATTTTATTTTCCTACAACCGAATCAAAATGAAAGCAAGAAGGACTTTTCAATAATGTTATAGTATTAAAATCTCTGAGCCTCACTGACAAATGACAAAATACACAATAGCGCTTCATAGTAATGAAACATATCGGTTTGCCACGTGGCACAAAGGGCGATGCGAAAACTAAACGTTGGGCTATAATTGGAACAAACGAGGAAATATTTGATTGAGTTAGATGTAATTTTTGTTTTGGGGAAACAATTGTAATGGCGAATGTATAATCCCAACTATTAATCGCTCGTGGCAGTTAAGAATAAATTTGGAGATACATGAACATGCCTTAGTTTTGTTTACGGAAGTGGCAGCATACTCAGTGGATTAATGTTATTCTCGTCCATGACAACGCAAACCCGAATACAATAAGAATAACATCGAAAGACATTTTGAAATTCGCTTGATTTTTTTCCTATCCCAGCTGCTATATTCAACCAAATTTGCGCCAACCGATTGTTGCTTTTTCTATCGCTACAAAATAGATTTATGGGGAAAACTTTTTTTAAATGAAAACCATAAGGAAGATTTCGTCGAAAGCTTTTCAAAACTTGCAGAATTTTGCTCAAAATGCCACGACGAGCTGGTCGATAAAAGGCAAAAAGTCACTACAAATACTGGTGAATATGCAATTGAATAAAACGCATTGTACTTTATATTTTAGAAGAGTACAGTTAGTAAAAGTAATAAAAAATTATTAATGACTTAACCTAATATTACACATTTTCAGACGCCAATAGACGTAGGAAAACCCCTAATATTTTGCGGGAATATCAGAGACTTTTATTTGACACTTGAATTTAGAATAAAGGACAACTTTTAGAGTAATTGGATTGTCCACATTTTTAACATTTAAAGTTCTAAATTTACACTCTGCCATCTATAGATCCATCAAGATCATACTTCTATTTTTTTTTCTTTCCTTGCTGGCTTTCGGCCAGTGTCTTTTTCTGGATTTCTTCAAGCATAACATATATTTGATTATATTTGAACAGAATTTGCAAACTCGGCTATTACTATTTTCGCTAACAATTCACGAAGTCGAACGACAAAATAAAGTGCAACAGTGTAGCATCGAAAACTCGACAATAGGGTAACCATATGCTCAATATCAATTTTGTTATAAGAGGACATGACACCTTCAGATCCCGTTAAATCGATGTTGTGTGGCAGTGCAATATTCCATAGGCGTGTCCAAAACACCAATCAAAGCTTTTGACTTATTTCAAAGATGGACGGAATGTGGTATGTGCGTGACGGTATGCGTATCTGAGTGTATACGCATACATACATATTTAGTTGATATATTCATAGATATAACTTTCTTCTGTTAAATGTACGAAAGATTGACTCTGCACGTATCAACAGGAGAACATGAAAAAGGTAAATGATAAAAAGAAAAGAGAGTAGTTATGGATGCGACAACAGTCAGTTAGTTATGTGCCATGCGTGATACGCGCTTAGGCATCTTTCGATACATGACTGACGAGGTAGATTTATTCCCGCAGTAGGTTGCCATTTCTTTCTGCGGTAGACCATTTGTCATCCAAGGCTCTAGAACCCGGTTTGTCATGCTATTTACCCATAGCTAGGAAGAGAAGAAAAGGATTCATACCTTTCCCAAGGTTATTAGCACATAAGTGAATGTAATGGATTCAACTGAAATACGAACTCGGCTCTCTGATTCCTCAATCCGAGCCGCTATCCATTACTCCAAGAGAACTGAATTGTATACAAAATCAAGCATTTGTATTTCGCGTGTTTTAATTATTCTATTTGTGTTTATCGAGAATTGTCAGTTAAAAGATGACAGCCCTTCATTATTAAGATGTATTCCCTTTTACGTAGTCAATTTTGACAGTAGATTGCATATGCACATCTATATAGTCAACTGAGATGGGAATACAGCAGATTAGACAAATAGAGAGGATTAACCGAATAACAAACTGGAAATATCCCCAGTGACACGTTTCGTCCAGGGAACGTACTTCTTCAGACTCATAATCGTTTGATGGATTGAAAATTCCGACTTTAAAATCTTTCTCGTCGTTTTTCAATTGAGTCAAAAAGATAATATATAATAAATATCATCAATTTTATTGCCAATATTGTTATCATTTTGTTTGCTTTTTATTCCTCAAATTTTATTAATCGGCCTATTATATATATATATATATATATATATATATATATATATATATATATTTAATCAAAACGAAAGATGGCCCACATATACTTCTTATAATAAAATTCCGACATTAAAATCTTTCTCTTCATGTTTCAATTTAGTCAAAAGGCCTACAAATATATAATAGATATCATCAACCTTATTGCCAATATTGTTATAATTTTGTTGGCTTTTTATTCCTCAAATTTTATTAACAGGCCTATTAATTTTTTACACACACACACACACACACACACACACACACACACACACACACACACACACACACACACATATATATGAGATAACAATATATATTTTTATATATCAAGAACAATAATGGGGAAATTATATGACAAAGTGGAAAAAGTTTACTTGTGATGCGTTTCGTCCTTCAGGACTTCATAGGACTAAATTTATTATGTTCGTAGGACTGCACATGCGCACGACTGAGGGATGCTCGGAATTTTATAAATTTTTTTTTATCATTTAGAGACTTTTTCTTTTTCTTTCCATCACTTTTGTAAGTAGGTATTCCACACTGTGATATTAGAAGATCTGCCAAGAATGGTGAAATATTGTAAGCGCCACAGTGCAAATTTACTATAGATGACCTTGCGATTAATGCGATTAACGCACTCTAGACATTTACGTCGTAGGACATTATTTCTCCTTTGATTAGAGTAGCATTTTTATGTCAAAGTTGTGGTCAGTCTCGTTACGCATGTGTAGTCCTACCAACATAAGTAATTTAGTCCGATGAAGTCCTGAAGGACGAAATGCGTCACAAGTAAACTTTTCAGTTTCTCACACACACACACACACACACACACACACATATATATATATATATTAAAAACGATAGCAATAAAACTGGATGAAAGTGAAAACGAAAGCGACAGAAAGCTAAATGTGATCGACAAGATGTATCGGACGTCAAAATTTAAATTTAAAACTTGAGTCGCTATGTATCTTTAACGTTCCCGATGTAAAATTGTAAGCGGTGTTTGCTGCATTTTTCTCCGTCAGACCCTCCCTCCCTCTCTATCTATCTATCTATCTATGGAGAGATTTCTCTCGCTTTCGTTTTCACTTTCATCCATACTTTTATTGCCATCATTTTTAATTACCCCACATTGTAAGAGTACTAATTTTGCGGGGGAAAACCACATGCCGTATGTTAGCGAACGTAAATTTACCGTAGACGATTCCGAAATTTGTGCACTTTCAATATATTCTCGCATTAATAAATTACATTCTCTTTTAATTCGAACTGTATTCTTTATATAGAAAGTATTGTCAGTACTAATACAATGCATTGAGTATATTGTTTAACATAATATCCCTTTTATGTTCATATAATATTTTATTTAATTTTCTAAGTGTTTCACCTTTGTATATCTTGTGATATTTTTACAATCGATTATTTAAATTCTAAATAAGATTGTACATGTTTTTTTTTTACCCAAAGAAGAAAATATTACTGAATTTAGGAGTGAAGAAAAGTATTTTCCTACCGCCGTAACGTAGCTTCCCTGGGCCTTTTCTATAAATATTTTTATGGTAATTGTTCTGATGAACTTTCCTCTATGTTACCTAGACTTTATGTATTTAGATTGGTGGCAACATTTACAATTGAAATGGCTGGATGTAATCGTAAGTTCTATGCTAACACTTTCTTCTCTCGCACTTCTCGCTTGTGGAACTCTTTTTCAGTTTCTGGTTTCCAGTCAAATTTGATTTTGAAAAAAATTAAATAAAATGTAAATCGTTATCTCATATTTTCTTAATTCCCGTTCTTTTATTGTTCTCTCTCCTTCATAGGGTTTTTTCTCATATTCTCTGACACACGATAACCTCTGCGTCTTAGTGTCTTTATTGCCTTGCTTGGGTGAAATGATGAAAAAACCTGATTTGACTTGATTTTTCTATGTGTTCTCATATCTGGTCAGTGATAAATGTTACTGATAGCAGGATGAACTGCAGACATGATTGGGATCTGGCCTTTGTATTGACACAAAATCTGCGGAATTGCTTCCTGCACATCAAACTGAAAACTCATATTTCCTGAATACGTGTTGGAATTTGTATCTTTTCCATATAAATCAATTTTATAGGTTTGAAAATGTGCTGATATACCTCAGGTGTAGTTAATTGTGTTGATGTTAGTATCAAGATAAGGATTCTCGTATACATGAAAATAATATGAATTGGCATGTTGCATCCCTGAACACATGCAAATTGGTGTCGGTAAATACATGGGCACGCTGATATTGATAGATTTTACTTTCATCTCCTAAAGTAAGGAGCGGAATGAAAATAATTGAAAATAGAAAACGCTATATGGAACAGAAATATACGCCGTTTATGAACGTCAGTAAATATCCATATCGGTCATCAAATATCAATTGGCTGCCACATTCTGAAGAGTCGATTTGAACATCATTTTGGTTTCCTCAAACGATATAAACGATGTTCTGTTCTGAGTGAGCTACGGATATAGGCACTCGAACATCTGCAGGTTGTGTTTTGCATCAATGTTGTTCACACACACACACAAATGCGGAAGTGAATTTGATCTACGGCGTGTAAACTAAGTTGTCAGGTCATTACAAATATTCTTGGTTTGCGTGTTCAAGATTCAGCCGGGAAAATAAGGAAGGGAGGAATGAGAGATATGGGACGACATATTCAACCCACCCCACTCTGCATTTTGCTTCAGGCAGCATTCCATTAGACAAACGCTACTTCTATGTCTTGCATGATGCTGACATTGATATTTTCTACGCACAAATCCATCTAATCTGTACGTTCGCCTCCCAGTCAGTTGTCCATCTCACCTGGCCAGATATCAGTGTTTCTCTATGTGGCATAATCAATCTTGAAATTGCAATAGAGTGTCTTGTTCTCGTTGTCATTAATACAGGTCAAGTGACAGGTTTCAGTTTGACGTGTCAGTAGTTGTTAAGGCAATGCTTGTAAATAAAAAGTCTAAGAAAATGGCATTGGAAAGGGAATTCTTCATAGAAAAATAGAAAGATTGACAAAAGGGGGGAATACAAAATCGCCGAAATAAAACAAATGCGCATCAGACTTGAGAGAGAAACAGCGAAAAAGACCAGAACAAATATGAAGACGAAATGTAATTGAAAGAAAAAATGTGTCATTTATCGATTGCTTTCTTCATCTTGAGATTCTAAATTACCCAGTGATTTTCCTTGTTGTTGTCATCTTTCCAACGATTGATTCTATATTTACAAAAGATCCTCTCTTACGTTTACATTAATTGAAATGACATTCACCTGAAAGATATTTGCATATTCACATAATCTTAGTTAACCAATTTCACAGCATTTTAATGACGTCCATTCGACTGTATTGTTTTTTCGTCCCTATTAATAATTTTGCTTATAGTTTATTAAAAATGTATTTTCAGATATGTATACATGTATCACATTTATTTCTGTATCTGTCAATCTATTTTTACATAGTCATATGCACTTATCTATCTATCTATCTATCTATCTAGCTAGCTAGCTAGCTAGCTAGCTAGCTAGCTAGCTAGCTAGCTAAATAGATATCTCTGATTGCCTGCCTATCTATCTATCTATCTATCTATCTATCTATCTATCTATCTATCTATCTATCTATCTATCTATCAGACAATCAGTAACAGACAGAATAAGAAAATTCTATTGTTGATATGAACTATTAGAGCAAGTTTCGTTCATTTAATAGTTTCATACCTGATGCTTCTAGAAACAAAGAGCCTGTCATATTTGTCTCTTCACATCAGAAAGTCAATGATATCTGCGAAAAGTTGTTAGCGTTTCCTGTAAGATAATTTTAAATTTAGTTTTCAAATTTCTTTTATTTATTCCCATTACATTTGCCATAAATTTTAGTCTTCAACAAGATAAAGAATATACATACATTGTGATTAGTGATATGGGAAGAGCTGATTTTCAAATGGCTGTAAAAGTTGAGTCGAAGTATTGATAAATTTGCTCCTTTTGACCCGACTTGTCGAAAACTTAATTATTCTAGATAAGTACTGAGATGAGTAGAATACACTCACGGTTCCCTTTCTTCCTCCTCACAATTTTGTGATATGAAAATTCTGCTGAGCTTCCTGCAATTCCCATCGACTGAGACTCCAGACCGTTAGTGTAGGCAGCAATAAATAAACCTAATTCATTTTGGTCGAGAGTGAGTAAACACATCTACATATATATGTATATACGCACAGCGTTAAACAAACACACACAGCAATAAAAACGGACACACATTTATGGCGTTTGGTGCTTGCAAGCACTGTGGCTTATCAATTGTCAGCATTCCTGCCAATCCATAGAAAGAAGTACACTGCAATATATTAGGGCGTTATCTTTTCGTGGATCCGATGCATATGCCCCGGAGTTCTTTCTTACTTAGAGTTTCTTTTCGGGATACTTCTTGTGTCTTTTTGCTGACATCTCTGTTTTTCTTTATTTCTTCATATCTCGTGCATGTTTTCCATTAGATGCAGTCAACTAAACTTTCTGGAGTCGTCTTTACAGTCGCTCTGGATAAAATCCTGAAATGATGTACATATTCCAGATGATAAGAATGGACAACTAACGAGTGTTATCTGTAGCTTCTATGCAAGAACTTATTATTTTCTAATAGATTCCTTTCAATCATTTCAGACTAAAATGTCCAATCTGTTGACTCCTTTCTTCCAAACGTTTAAATAGCTTCATGACTAATATACGCTCACCGCTGACGTTATTAGGTATATTCTAGTACCGAGTTGAAACTCATTTTGCTTTTAGAATCGGTTCAGTTCTTGGCATCGATTCAACAATATTCTTGAAACATTCTTTCAAAATTTCGGTCTATGTTGTCATTATGGGAACCCTCAATTCTAAATTGGTTGGTTGCGCGCAAGGGGTTCGACTAATCATTTCCACCATATCACAGTGGTGCTCTATGGGACTGAGATCTAGTGACTGAAGGAGGAAACTAACACATTGGTGACACGGCTTGTTATCTTGTTGGAAATGGTCATCATATGATCAGTGCACCATAGTCATACATTATGGCCGGTGGTCAGTCACAATACATGAACAAGCATTCAAACAATATTCATTGGTAAGGGTCCCAATATATGCCAAGAAATTTTCACCATACCAACTAGAACTGTTAATATAAGACAAGATGGGTCCATGCTTTCATGTTGTTTCCGTCAAATACTGGCTTTATCATCCGAATGTCGCTGCAGAAATTGAAATTTATCTGAGCAGGCAAACTTCTTTCAATCTTCTATTTTCCAGTTTTAGCGAATTGTACTATTCTATATACCGCCATTTAAAAAAAAATGGTTATTTATATCAGATTTAACCAGTTTAACTAGTCTGACCCGACCTCTTTCATCAACAACGAATTTTCAAAATGCCGCACACTGGAATTTTTTTCTGCCAATTCTCTGTAACCCTAGATATGATTCTAAGTGAAAATCGAAGCAGCTCAGCAATCTTTCTAACATTCAAACCTGCCCGTTTGTCACCAACGACGCTGCTGTGTTCAAAGAGACTTAAATCACCTTTCTTTCCTATACTAATGAATGAAACTGCATTTAACAGGTCGCATTATGTTTAAATGCCTATATCCATTAAATTAGTTGATTAGAAATTTGCATAAAAGAGCGTTTATTCACGTTTATTTACTTAAGTGTCTTGTGAATGCCTATATGACTTGCTTTTGTCTGGCCACTTCGACGTGGGGTCATGGTTAGTAAGCTTGTCTCGCTAGATTAATTACGACTGGTTGATGAGTTCGATCTTCACAAAGTGTCCCATAAATTAGTCGTTTGTGCCACATCTAAGCTACTATAACTATTTGTGTTGTGTTAGTTAAATTGAAACAAACAACATGTATAAGAATAATTTACATACTTCATTACTATTCCTCCGGAAAGAAAACCTCGAAATTGAAGAAATATGGGTGAAAATACACCGTTAATAGTAAAGCTACTAAGACACAAGAGGTTACTGGGTGTGGAAGAATTAGAAAGAGAAACATTACTAAGTAACGAGAACAAAAGAAGAGTAGTCAAGAAGACAGTAGAAAGTGATTGATATTGCATTTAAATATTTGAAAATTAAATTTGGCTGCAAAGTATGGAGCTGGAAGAGAGATACGTAAGTGAGAAGCGTGAGAAAAGAAACTGTTATGCTTACATCTCGTCAGCTCAACTTTGAATTGATGAGATCTTGACGCCAGTCTAGTATTGCTCTTAAATTCAAAAAAGTCTAGGTACCATAGCGAAGAGCTCATTCGAACAATTACCATGGAAATATTTAAAATAAAAGGCACAGGAAGAAAACCTTACGGCGGCGGGAAAGTGATTGAAGCCGAGCTGCCAGATCAGAACCGATAATATTACTGATTCTTTGCATTTTATCAAAGATCTTTAAATATATAGCAGGGGCATCGGGCCGTATATGTCAGCAAGATTCTAAGCATGGACGAATTTTAGACTTATTAATATGTAAGATAAGAGAAAATTGTTACACTAAATGTGTAAATACAATCTGCATATAGCATCTGACAAGGAATCTGAAGAAACTTATTGTTGTGGTAGGATCCACCTAATTTTCATAGTGGAGTACCGACCATATAAATATGGTTGGTACCGGGAAGACGGGGGGAGGAATCAAGAGATTCAACCAGAGACTCTGCCCGACTGCGACTCAGTCAACCCATTCTCCAGGAACGGTCTTACCAGGAATATACAAAAGACCATATGTAAATATTGTGTACACTTTCTTGTTTCAATACATTTTGTTCTAAGTACATTTTGTGTTGCATTATTCTTCCATGCATTAGTCAAGTTTCAACATTTATAAAAAAAGAAAAAAACCTAAATATTCAGTAATCACCATTTTATGTACAGGCCGGTCACTCTCCAATTGACCTTTATTGTTAAACATCTTTTATTAATCATCTATAGGACAGTTATGCTTAATATGTAATAAAGTTTAACAAGAATATTTCTAATTTCTTAATTCAACGTTTCCATCATCATCATCATCATCATCATCTTTGCATGTCATGTTACTGACTTACACCTAACATAGATTATAGTACGAAAGAGTTGCACACATCGCCAGCCTCTCGTCATTGTCTGTCTGGATCCAGACAAAGAGATAAACCAGGATGCAGTAGATGATCAGGGCTCTTTATATCCACGGAATTTTGCAATGTGTTACTAAACTAAATATGCAACCTCCTTGAAAGAACCCAGTCTGCTAAGACAGGTTGCGATGGGTAAACATCTCGCCATTTCCTCAGCAATTTTCACTATGAACCATTTCTCCTTTTGTCGACTGAATCTCAGTAAAGTTGGGGACTCCCAACATTCGCACCGTTTGTTAGAAAAAGAAGCACTGTAACGCAATTTTCCCGCCAAATAATTTGAAAACGGCATGCTGTACTGCTTGGCACTTGCACCGGAAAATTTTTGGCATTTCAGAGTGCTTGGGATCATAGGTAAAGTGCTTTAAAATGAGTTGAATGAGTCTAATTACCAAATTTAAAATTACGGCGTGTCTGCTCACTTTCTAGTGTTCTGATAAGAAAAAAAGGCTTCGGTTTTTGGTGAGGACCTCAGACTCAACACAGATGCCTACATTTTTTGCTTAGGTTTTTTGAGGGTGGTTGCTGGAAGTCTGCCAATAGGACCTCTCTGCACCATGCCACATAATTTCTTTTTCGTCTAATTTGAGAGTCATGACTGTCATGACAATTTCTATACCGCATAAATGGTGTGTTCTGGTCACCCCAGACTGCAACTCACTTGATTATTATGTGTGGGAAGTAGTTGAGCGAGAGATCAACAAAACTCCTTGTAAGATCAAAGATGAACCGAAGGCAAGGATTATGGCATCATTCACCAACTTAAACAAGACCGTCCAAAAGAGTTGCAAGAGATTCAGAAGTCGACTGGAGGCTGTGGTTGAATCCAATGGCGATTTTATTAAATAAATTTACTCTTTGGTATTTCAAGATATTTTTGTGTCATTTTGGTAAATATATCTGTTAAAATGAGATGTCAGGTTTATTTTCAATTTTGCGTAATTTAGAAGACAATTTATCCATCGCACCCAGTATTTATTCATAACTGGTTGGTATAGATCGATTCGTATTTTTCCCAATGGCATTAGTGAGTATAATCACAAAATTGACTCAGCTTTAGTGTGAACATTGTTTATAATTACGTTTTAATCACTGTTAACCATTAAACCACAAGTACTTTCACATTTCGCTCATAAGCGTATATTGTAAAAAATTTAATAAGATCGAATTTAAAATGGCGTGAGTCTTCGTTGAAAATATAACAGAAATATAGGAGGAATATTTCATATAAAAAAACTTGTTTAACAGATATTTTTATTGTTTATTTTTTTGTTCATTTGGAATAAGAATTGGTAAACTCTACAGACAGATATAAGCTATTTCACACTTGATAAATTTAAATATCATTTAACTTCATAATTGTCCCGTCAACGTTTATAAGATTAAAAACCATGCAACATATATTTGTGTTTTTGCAAATATGACAATCTGTCGTTACATGGCAAAAGGTCAAGTGGTAAAGACATATTTATGATCACGCTAGCGTTGAGAAAAATAAATATAAAATACACTGATATTTATTGAAGATAAATTTATTTTTTCAAATGATCAGTCAAAAGTAAAGTTTATGATCTACAATCAAAAGCAAAATATAATGATACCAGCAATCCTTCATTGATCTTTTGTTCTCTTCATTCAATTCAATTCTTTTCTTCCTCTGTTTTTTTAATGAAACTAATGTTCAACCAAACAACCATTTTGATATCTCCATTGCTAGTTAAAATCTTTCTTTTATCAAGCGCATTTATAAACATTCATTCAACTGGCGGTCAGTTCAATATATGATAAATCAGAAAAAGCGATCTTTATAAAACGCTAAAAAACACAATCCGGACAAAATTAAAAAAGAATAATTCGATGGTAGTTAAAAATCGCAATAGAATTTCTCAGTTGTCTGTTAATTGATTTTGATAAAAACTTTTCCCAGCTTGTTTGGACAATGTAGCAACACCATTGTTAGATTTTCATTATTTTGTGTAACATCTTTTATCTTTTATTTCAGATCATTTTTTCTCATTGTGTTGTAGTTTTAGGGTTGTATTAAACTGATCGTTTACTAACAAAGAGTGGAAGATATCACTAACGATTTTTATTTACATATGAGTTTATTTATGCTCGAGTATAACTCTGATATATGGAGAGAAAAAAAATTCACTGCTTGTGAGATTCGTTGTGTTCAGGATCCATGAAGGAGTTTTTTATAGGGCACAAAAAGACCCTTTCCGGTAATTTCGGCGGCTTAGAACGGCATGATTGTGTTCTAGTAGAAATTCAGTTGGCACGGAAATTTGAAGGCTCAATTTATCATTGCGATGAACGAAGCTAACGGAATTCTTCATGAATTATTGTTAGATTTT